TGGTCCCTTGACCCGTTTGTGGCCCGTGGCCACGCTGCCCTGTGGGCCTGGGCAGACGGGGGTGGCTACCTCCTGCAGCAAGGTGCGAAGCGCAGATGCAGCCCTGCCTTGGCCCTGGCTGCAGGCGAGGGGACGTGCCTGGAACAGCTGCAGCCAGCCCTTGTCCGAGGGGTCACCCGTGGCTGGGGGCTCCTGGCTGGCTTGTCCTCTGTTCGTCCGGCTTGGGACGAGATGGCAGGGCATGGCAGTGTCTGCCTGCCCCTGGGGGCCGGGCCCTTCTCCTGGGGGTGCTGAGCACGTTGCAGCAGCTTCGCGCCCTGGGATCCCCCAGCGCCCGTTGGCTGTTCCATCCTCCCGTAAACCTCTGCCCTCCCTCAGCCCTGACCCTCCCGCGCAGTGTGAGTGCGGTGGATGCACACGGCTGGTCGTGTTTGCTGTCCTTTCGTAGGTCCCTGCGTTTAAGCCCTATGTGGTGCTGGCTGCTTGTTTACCTCTTCTACACTGTAATATTTAGTTCTTACTTCTGTCCTCCCATTTCCTGGCGGAGATTTGTGGGTGGTCACAGAGGCACTTTATTACGGTGCCTGTGGGATCGCTGTGTGTGCTCTTGGGGCTGGTGGCAGACAGGAGTGATTTGACATCACCGGTGGCCGATCGTAACCAGGAGGGCCGTTCGACACGAGCCTACTGTGCGTCCCTGTTTGGAAATGCCACTTCCTTCGCACAGCACGTGCGACGGCGTTCGATCGTGTGGCACGGATCCAGCCGCTTCATTTTAGAGCTGTTCAGTTTAAATGTTGCAGCTTTGCTAAACCACTGTAGCTTTGGCTGCAACTTTGCGTTATTAAGGAGTGATAAAGATCTTTAAAGCATTTAGGATTTTCCTACAGTTGGTCCATGGGTATCTGGTAATCACGGTCTTGTCACACTGCACTGCAGCATTTCCAGTCTCTTAATTTGTGTTTCAAACAAGTGGTGGCCTTTTGACCAAGCACTGGTTTCCAAGAAGTTTAAAAGGGAGGCTTGGGCTGCAACATAGTCTGGGAGAGAGTTCTTGGAACTAAAGGCAACTTCTGCATCCCAGCCTCTTTATAAGAGGCTGCTCTTGTCCTTGTCATGAACAGAAAGCTAGAAACCGATTTCTACATTTGAAAGCGTAGAGAAGATTGGGGTGGGGTTTTTTGTGTGGGTTTTTTTTGTGCGTGGTTTTTGTGGTTTTTTGGTTTTTTAGGATTCCCTGTATAGGACAGCCAGGACAATTAGGAAACTCTTAGACATTAGACAGAAAGTGATAGGAAAGACATTTCAGCAGGCATCAGCTACTAAGTCTCCAGTTATCAATGAAATGGGTCAAGTATGATGTTCCAAGGGTGGCTTTGTGAATAAAGCGCTGGCTTGTGATGATTTCTTCCTTCGCTGTAGATTTTCTCCGTGACTTGGGGGAAGTGGCAGCAGTGCAGATTTTTGAACTGGAGTGTGTAACTCAAGTTTTAAGCACTTAAATTCTATTTTTTGTATTCTTCAAGTCACATGTGAGGATGAGACTGAAGGTGCCCAGCTACCTCAAGTGACGTGTACGTAATGGAGAGGATTCTGAGTCTGCGCCCCTTCCTAGAAATGTTGCCTTTAATGAATTGGCATTGAAACGGCATTCATCTGGGCTGAACTTGGAGGAAAGCCTTTTTTTCCACTGTGGCATCTAACTGGAAAATTCGGATGCGGTTTGCTGTCAGCAGCAAGTAGTTGCTGCAATTGGAGACAGGTTATTAAAGAAAAAAAAATAAGTGGTTGTATGTGATATCCTGTTAGCAAGAGGCAATGAGCAGGATTTCCATGCTCCAGGATGGGTTTGGGAATTTCTCTCCTGGGGAAGGAGGAGCAGTGGGAGCTTGGTGGGGAGGGACTGGAAGCAGCAGAAGCTGATTCCTGGTCAGGAGACCTCTCCGTCCTCTAATGTTTTCAAGGTACTGTCTTGCTGGAAATCCAAGCTTATCCCAGCCTGGGCATGTCATGGCAGAAAATTTAAAGTTATTTGAGCATTGCTAACCTGTCTTTGTCTTTTTCATTTTGCTCTCCTTTGCTTCATCCTGGATGTCTAAAAGGACAGTTGGAGCCAATAAATGAGGTGAGTTAATCTGATGATTCACTCTCCGCTCTGTCTCCTCACTCCGTCCTGAGGGATTGTCTCGTATTTTCTGACTCTTTACTGATGTCCTAGATATAAGTAATGCCCTGCATTTTGGGCTGGTAGTTTTTAATTTTTTTTTTTTTTTTTGCAATGTTCAGATTTTGTTTATGGAGGAAACCGTGTGTTTTACTGGAGCAAAAAGAAACGCTCCTGTGGAGTCTTCTCTGCAGATTTGCGTTCCTCAGAGGAAACCCCTTTGCGTGCTGTGATAGTGCCTTTGTATCTGCACATTTGTGAATACTCCACGTGTCTTGAGTATTTTGGGGGGATATCTATGGAGAAATTCTCACATGCTTTGTATCTTCAGCTTCTTAGGAACATTTCAAGGTCACATACAATCGTAACGCGATTCGACCCTGGATGTGCACGTGCCGTGCTCTTGCAGCTGCGTGTCTCCCCCCGTGAATACAGAGTGATGCCCTTTATTAGCAGTGCCCTTGTGCTGCTTAACGAGCCTTCTTACAAACCGCAGAAGTTGGAGCTGGCGTGGGTGGGAAATGGGCTAAGGTTTGGCTTTCTGCTCCTCTTGAAGCCAGCAGAGCTGTGAAGTGGAGGGAAGGCTGTAGAGGTGGCATGGCAATGGGGCAGCAGCCTGTTGCCCCTCCGATGGGGTGCTCACAGCCCGTGGTTGTAGCAGCGGAGGAGCACTGTTTCAGGGGATGCTGCCAGTGCCACCATAGAAACCTAAGGAATTAAATACTTTTCTGGGTCAAGTAACTTCTTTAAAAACAAAAAAAATCAGTTAAGGTTCTTCATTAAATTAATCAGCATAGCAAAGGGGAGGCGTGTGGATAGCACACTTTTGCTAATGCATTTTAGTGGCAAGTTTGTTGGGCTGTAATGTTGTGTGTGTATGGATCAAACAAATATTACGTGCTGATACATATACAGGGACAAAATGTGCTTACATTTCTGCGTTAAGATTTTCAAATTAAATAGACCTTTGCTGGATTAAATCGGAGCTTTCACTTACCTTCTGTTTTTAATTCCTTCTGTTATATGTTTGCCGATCTATTAGTTTGTTGATGTGTGTGAAAGAACAAGCATGTTTCTGCTCTAACATATTGCAATGCATAGTGTTTTGTAAATCACCCTCTTGCCAACCTCCATAATAATACGTTGCTACTAGAGGGAAAATACCTGCAGTGAATGCTTATTTTTCTGCCTTGTTACGGCATCAGTGAAGTTGGGCTGGTAACCGCATAGCATTTGTCTGTTGATATAGATGGAATAAATATAGTTCTTAATGTTCTGTTGCAGAAACACAAACATAAATACAGCTGAATGTTATTTCTCAACAGCTATTGATGGGTTGTAATCTTGTACTTTGGTTTCCAATGGCTTCAGGGTCTGCTCGCTAGAATCTCGGATCTCTTGCTGTGCCGGTGGACTTGTAGAAATTGTTGTCAGAAGTGTTTCGACTGTAGCTGTTGTCAAACAAGTGAAGATGAAGTTGAAATCCTGGGACCTTTTCCTGCTCAAACTCCAGCCTGGCTGTAAGTTTAGATGCATGTTTTCATAGCTTTAACTGAGGAGTCAGGCTGTTCAGCTGTGATGAGAGTATTGATGCAAAATGGTGATAGGATGTTCAGAGGATGCCACGTAGAAAGGACGAACCTCCTGCCAAGGGTGGGAACGTAGGCTACTCAATGGCAAGGTGGAAAAGGGCAGCCCTGTTAGCTCAAATAGTAAGGTTAGTCTTTGTAAAACACTTTTCTGATGAGTAAGGCAGAAGTTACTTTGTAAGCTAGCATAGCAAGCTGATAACTGGTTTAGCTATACACCCTTTCCTAAAGATGCTTTTCATCTTCAGTCCTATTTCCTCTTTAATGGACCAGCCCTTTGGAGGACTTCAACTTAGCTGGAATGCTGACGAGGTTGTTTTGAAACATTTTCTTATCCTAGCATGAAGGTGGTTCTCCTATAGGCAGATGAAAGGCGTACCTCATGTGTGCTCTAAAGGGGAAATTCATCTGAAGTGTCATATAGTAAGACTTGATTTCCTGCATCATCTTAGTACTCTTCAAGATCCCTTCTTGAATCATTAAAGAACAACAGTGGCAACCATGGAATCTGTGGGTTGGAAGGGACCTTTAAAGGCCATCTAGTCCACCACCCCTGCAGTGAGCAGGGACATCTTCAACTCAAGCAGGTTGCTCAGAGCCCGTCCAACCTGACCTGGAATGTTTCCAGGGATGGGGCATCCACCACCTCTCTGGGCAACCTGGGCCAGTGTTTCATCACCCTCACTGTGAAAAATTTCTTCCTTATATCTAGTCAAAATCTGCCCTCTTTTAGTTTAAAACCATTACGCCCTGTCCTATCGCAACAGGCCCTGCTAAAAATGCCGGCTTTTGTCTGGGCTTTGATTAATGTTTTTGCAAATCTATTACAAAGAAAGTCAGTGAAGTCTTCCCTGTTTTACTTCCTCTTGTTTGGGAATTTGCAGCACAGAGGTGGCCCCGTGGAGGCACTAGTGAAACCAAGAAGCGAGCAGAGGTCTCCTGTCTTTTAGTGCCTGCTCTGTTGGCTGGGCTGGGCTGTCTTCTGTGACAGCCGATCGTTTGATGGGCACAGCTTCAGTGTGTCCAGAAGCTGTGGGACAGGGGATGCCTATTTAGTGCATCATATGATGCTCAGAAGTTGGTAGCTAGGCACGGAGACACTCAGTTAATTTTATCTACTCCTCTGAGTACCTACTGTTATTCTGTGTCAGGTCTGGAAGGTCCGTGTCTTGGTGCTGCATGAAATAAATTGTCTCATGTTTAAATCACAGTTTTGTCTATATACTCTTTTGAATCCAGGTAGAATAGGACAGTAATTAATACTAAAGCAATAAAAATAGGAATGTTCAAGATGTGTTAGAGTGGTTTTTAAATGTGGAGCAGCGTATTTACGAGTCTGATATATGCCCAGAAATGGATTCACCTGCAATTAATGGGAAATGGAAACAAAATCAATGCTAAATAGGAAGGCATTGTGCACAGGAGAACACAGTGATGAGGTTGCAGTATTGGACATAGAAAAATTGCTGCAGGAACAGTTACGTACTTGGAACAAGTAGCTAGGCTTGTTGCGAGAGGATGCTTCGGAGTTTCTTTGGTGTGCTGAGGAGCAGAAAGGCCATCATGTGTGCTTGGGGGTGTGGGGTGATTGTCCCATGGTGTAGTTTTTGACTGCTGGACCCACTGTCTGGCTAAAGGGTCATTGTAAGCATTGAAGCTCTGTTCTTTTGATCTCAAAACTCAGATGTATGGTGACTTTGGTGCAGGCAGAGAATATGGAGACCTTTGGACTCATAAAATGCTCTGTCCAGCCTGTCTTGTTTTCCCCGAGTCTTGCTCCGTCTGAAAGCCTCTAAGCAGAAGACAATGTGCTCAGCCGGGGGAAGCCCAGTTCTTCAACCATGTTGCACTTTATGCTGCATGTACTCATGCTAGGAGCCCTGGGTAGGGTCCCCGGGACCCCAGCCTAGGTCACGTACCCATCTTTCCTTCCACCTGCCATCTGGTGCAGTTAGGGTCTCCCTATTCTGCTCTAGTGCTGTGAGAAGACGTGTTCCCAGAGGTAATGGCCAAGAGGGGCAACAGGAGTCCAAGGAAAGGACACACGAGAGAAGTAGCTTTGCTTTGCGAGGAGGCATGGATGCTGCCGTGCCTTAGGATCACTAAGTCACCTTCTCCTCTGGTGCTGTTGCAAAGCCTGTGATCTCTAAGGATGCCTGTTAACGCACGTTGATGTGGAAGCTCGAGATCAGACTTTGCTTGCTTGAAAAGGCTGTTGGCTCCTCTTCTTGAGCTGGGATGGACCCAGGGTGGTGCCAGGGAAGATGGTGAAGCTTTAAGCTTCCAGGGTGACTTTGTGGGAAAATAGTGAGGGAACCCAGAAATGAGTCGAGGGAGGAGGGCAAAGAGAGCAGAGGAGATACGGAGAGGGGAAGGAGCTGAGGGGATGTGATTGAGAGGAGGGGGGTGGAAAATGAGCCTATAAAGGAACAAGAGTCAGGAAGAGGAGAGTAAAAGGCAGGAGACAGAAATGGTGTATTTTGTTTGCTGATCGATAGGAAGGCTACACTTTTTGTGTGTTCAGGTTTAAGGTGGAAATGATCCCATGCAGGGCTGGCTCAGAATTCGGAAGCTGAAGATGATTTCTGTTTTCACTGTGTTGATCTTATACTCTTAAATCTCCATATGCATTTTTGGAGGTAGGAAACAGTGTCTGGAGTTAGATGTGGGAGCAGAGTAAGGGTTTGGAATTGGTCTCAGAATAAGGTGTTCAATGGGTATGTTTTTAAGTGCTCAGAGATCTGTGTATGCCAATTGATCCCTCATCCTTTTTTTTTTAAATGTTACTTTTCAAAAGGGGGCTTTTGGATTCAGTGGAAACCCCTAAAATGGAAGACAGATTTGACACCACCATATTCCGCATTTAGATGCGTGCATTGAATTGGGGAACAAATCAATTTATTGTATTCCCTGCTCACAGCCTGAAAATGTTTTAAAAATAGATCTAGGTTTTCACTGAGGACTTCCCATCTTGCCACTTCTTCATGGACAGGACACTGGTATAATACAGAATGCAGTTTGCTCCTTCCTTATCTCCCCAACCCAGTCCTCAGGGGAAGACTGCTTTTATGGTCTTCATTGGCCTACTAGCAAACATATGAACGCCCATGCTGAATAATCCATCCTTTATTTTTTGCCTGTAGGTTTTCCCTTTGGCAGCTCTGAGACACCTCATTGTCCTGGAAATTCAGGAGGGGGCATTAAAGCCGCAAGTTTAAGCCCTTCCTCTTGGGAGACTGTTGATTTTTCTCACTTTCTGAATTTTTTACAGTGGCAGCTTAGGAATAAAAGTTCTTACTGAAGTGAGTCTAATTGTATTGGCCTGAATGCCTGGTAGCTGCTTGTTGTTTCATGAGGAGCACTTGCATCCCGGTCTTTGCAGAAATGGGCTGGGCACGAGGGTGTATGTCAGCGCTGCCTGTTACGGAATATTCTACATAAACCCCAAAGGTAAATGGTGCATGGTCTGTGAGGCTGAATTGAAATCAGGACACCGCTCCTTCCCAAAGGTTCAGAAACAGAGCTGCTTTAACCAGTGCCAAAGTTTATTTGAGGAAAAATTATTGTGGCTCAGTAGCAATTTCCTTACTAAAGGTCATCTGTATGTTATTAACTCGCTATTACGTTTACCCGTTGTAGAACATCCTAATGCCTCTCTTCCTGATTCCCTTTTCACCCTGCCTTCTCCTCGTTCTGTGCATTTACTTCTCAAACACAAGTATATCCAAATGCTACCTGTGATTGTGTAGACCCGCATTTAGGCATGAAAAAGCTATTTGTGTTCCAAGTACTGATTATATGTCAGACTGTGTGATTTGGACTGCCTTTAATGGGCTGCAGAGTTGTGCAAATATTGTATGCCCCTTTTAGCCTAGGGTTTGGGTTTGATTATTAGCAGACTTTTTTTCAGTATGGATGAGTTGTGTGACTCCGGGTTGGTGAGATTAGCATGGATCCTGCTGCGAACTTTATGGATTTGAATAAGAAATTCCAGTTTAAATCTGTTTCATATTTGGGAGGGCCTTTTCTGTGAGTTTACTCCTTTTTGCAAAATATGTTTATTGCTCTAGTCCAGTCATTGGTTACTAAAGCAAATGATTCAACATACTGCATTTATACCCAACTGAGCCATGCACGTAGAAAGGGTGAATCAGGAGCAAAACTCACACAGTATTCCTCTTCACTTTGCGCATTTCATGCTCGCGTTTTCGATGTGATCTGCCGCTACTTTTTTGGAGTACTCTTGTCTCGTGGATTAACCAAAAGGGTTATTTTGCATGATGCACTACACATCACGTACCATTGTGCGATTTCATTTCCATCGGCAGATGTCTGCCAACCGCTCTGCTCTGAACGTGCAGTTGGAGACTTTATCTCTTCTACTTGTTACTGTCTGCTCTTGCTCTTTCAGTCAGGGTTGGGAGGTCCTGCTTTTGTGAGCCACTGTGGCTGTGACACGTTGAGGTTTTTAACCAAAATGTTGTTTTATATGGAAACAACATATATTTATACACACAAACTGAAATGGGAATTACACATGAACTTCTTTATGCTGCCAGTCTTCTGTTGAGTCTTCTCAAACATGCTACAGCTCTCACTGTAACTTGCTTATTAGTTACTTAGATCCTGCTGGCTTCCCTGCTCCCACTGAGACCCCTGGGCAGTAAAACTGCTATCTTGTCAGAATCGCCTCTGCTTTATAGAAGTGGATAAAAAGCAGCCAATTCTTTAAAAAGGCTTGTAAATAAATAGCTGTTAATTAATTCTATTTATAAGATCGAGTTTTGAAACCTTAGTGGTGTATCTGCAGAGGAATATTTTACCGAGAGAGGTGTGGGGTGGGTTTGAGATGACTGAGCATGGTGGTTTCCCATGCTGGTTCATTCCTAGTGAAGGCCGTGCTTCCAAAATGTAGCTGTGAGTTTACAGCAATAAGCTACTGTTTGGGTGTTGTGGTTTGTGGATTTTTTTTTTTCCTTTCTTAAAGACAAATATAATATTTCTGATCAAGATCTGAGTCACACGTGCCCGTGTGGCCTGTGTCGTGCTTTAATACTGATATAACTGTTTGAAAGACAGGCAGAAAGATAAGGAATCTGTTTTTCACACAGGTCTGAAGTCAGTTGGTCAGCCTTTTGCTTGCCAAGTAGATCAGGAGATACCCTGCAGCATCCAGGGATGTGCACCCAAGATTAGACCCAGAATATCAGAAGGCATTTTTATTCTGTATGTACTGCTTTTACCGGGTTGAATCACCCAAAGGTGTCTTGTTGTAACAGGATAAGCAGCCAAAATGAGGACAAAGATGGAGACTCTGATAATACAATCAGTGAGCTGCCTCCCACTCTTCAGGATGTTTCCCCTGACAGAAGGCGGTCGTCTTCAGATGCATCACGGTCCACTTACAGCCTCACGAGGAGGATTTCAAGTAAGGTCGTCCTTCCAACATTAACGTAATTCTTGTGGGGAAAAAAATCAAACTGTAGTGCTTGCTCTTTCATCTTTCAGACAGGGAATCAAGTCAAGTTGAAGGTACATTGATTAAAATCTCATCCTGTTCTGCAGGAACACAGTGGAAAGGTCCAGCCCTGTTTTTCTTGCTGGAGCATATGCTTGGTAATTGCACGTGAAAATGGATGGGGAGGGGAAAGTGTAGCTGAGCTTGCACTTCAGCGTAACTAAGGGTGCTATTAATTGTTGGCAATGTAATGGTGAAAAGTCCCTCTGGGAAGCCTGCTGTGCTGGGCATTGCACAGACACAGAATAGCTGTACCCAAGGAAGGACAAGTTGACTTGTGCCTGTAGTGGCTTCAAGCTGAGTTTCTAACGATCGTTTTTGTCATTTCTCTCGTTCAGGTTTGGAGTCGAGAAGGCCAAGTTCTCCGTTAATTGACATTAAACCTATCGAGTTTGGAATAATAGGAGCTAAGAAAGAAATAGTTCAGCCAACTATCCTGCGAAAAACCTATACCCCAGATGACTATTTTAGAAAATTTGAACCAAGACTGTACTCTCTTGACTCGAATAGTGATGATATGGACTCCTTGACAGATGAGGAGATCTTATCAAAGTATCAGCTGGGCATGCTGCATTTTAGCACTCAGTACGACCTGTTGCATAATTATCTAATAGTGCGAGTCATTGAGGCTAAAGATCTGCCTCCTCCAATTTCTTATGATGGTTCAAGGCAAGACATGGCTCACTCCAACCCCTACGTGAAGATCTGCCTTCTTCCTGATCAGAAGAACTCCAAGCAGACCGGAGTGAAACGCAAAACACAGAACCCGGTGTTTGAAGAGAGGTACACATTTGAAATCCCCTTTTTAGAAGCCCAGAGAAGAACTCTGCTTTTAACCGTAGTGGATTTTGACAAATTCTCACGCCATTGTGTTATTGGCAAAGTATCAATGCCCTTGGGCGATGTAGACCTTGTGAAAGGCGGACACTGGTGGAAAGCCCTTGTGCCTAGTTCTCAGGTAACAGAATTTATCAGATTATTGCTACAATTTTTCTTGTTGGTTTTTTGTGCGGTTCCTTTGCTTGTTGGCAAGAAATGCAGTTTCTAATTAGTCATTGTCATCTTGTTAATACAGCATCTGCTGGATTGAAATAATGTGATGCCTGTAACTGGTCTTAAAACTAATACTGTGAGGTAGAGGAGCTGTCCTCTTCCATATGCAAAGGAGGTGGCATGTCAAAAGATCCTATGTCAACTCGAATGAGAATAAATCAAGACTGCTTTGGAAGTCTGTATGCTTTGGAACATCTTTCTTGTCACTGCAGTGACCTGCATCCATTCCCAGACACTGCAGTGACACTGTCCCATCTGGGTGGCTCCTGTGGTTGTTAGCGTGACTGTGCTTTAGGGACATGAGGGGAACCACTGGTGCCAGTTCAGTGATGATTTGATTCAAGCAAGTGTGTAGAAGACAAAACCTCTACAGACTTATGGCATGATGTATGAGCAAAAAATTGGAAGATAGTGGTAGATTGATTTTTCATGATGTCCCTGAAGGAAATAAACTTGCTGTAGATTTTGTATGATATAAGTGGCATGTTGCATGCATGGAAGTTTGAGCGTGCATTTTGGACCAGATTTGGCTGTCTGATGGGATGGAAGGAGGATGTGTGTGCTTCCATGCCCGTTCTCAGGATAGGGCCCCAGTCAGTGCCACCTCCTCGCCAGCCAGGAAAAGAGCTGTTCAATGGGAAGATCTGAACTTTTGGATCAGGAACAGCAGTTAGCTACCAGATTTGCTACCAGCTATATTGCCCACACAGCTTGGCTTTTTACGGGGTTAGTATAACACTATTGCTTCTCCCAGTTTCTCACCAGCTCTTGGGTTGCAATTTCTAAGTTTTAGAGCCTTTGCTGAATCAAAATCCTGTGTGAACTTGGATGGTTTCTTTGATTCAGTTTCTTTGAATTCTTTGTGTGTTCACAAAAGGGTGGCATAACCAGAAGTATTAGGCAAGATGAACAATAAATCATTGACCTCACTGCTGATTTACAGTGCGAGTCTGAGACTTCCACTCTGATTTGGAGTGGAAACTTGTGATCAGACACTTGTTGAAGTAAAATCCACCGAGCAGTGTTTATACACGAAGTCAGCTGGGTCTCTGACTCTGCTTTGCCCCCTCTCTGTGTGCAGAGGGGTTGAGAGCACTTTTACCTCTTGCTCAGACCTTCTGCAGAACTTTAAGTCCCCTGATAATTGCAAGAGAGCAGACTGGATTTGCTCTAATAGAAGTAGGAGTGTTACAGGATTAGCCTGAA